AATACACTTTGGTCTTCTGAAAATACTTATTGTGCTTATTATATTTGGTTTAGTAAACCATGGTTGTTATACCATATGATTTACAAGAACATTTTATTGCACAGTATATTTTGTAACTGCCTTACCATCAAACGTATTCTGAACGCATACAATTTGTTCAGTATATTTGTTTAATGTATTAAAAAAAGTATTTCTACAAGGCCAGGTACTTATAATTTACCATTATTCAGGTTACAAAGTCAAGCCTTTATGACTATTGATTCTGTACATTGATGACTATTGTTCCTGTACATTAAGATGCAAACATTAATTACACCATCAGAGGCTGCTTTTTTTTCCCCAGGGTCTGTCTCCCATCAGTGGATATGATTGACAAAGCTTACCTAATGAGCATCTACTTACTGTTTACCCTGGCTGTTCGTGCCTTTCACTGCATGCTTTCTGAACCCTGCTGTTACAACAGGCTTACTAACTTGTGGGCTTTTCTGTCATGGTTATTACTACAGCAACAAACATGGATTAGCATCTTTGTGATACCTGTAAAGAGAGGGCACGAACAGAGGAGCACCGTGGGATTGCCAAGAGGATGGAGAGTCAAACTGTCTTCTCAGTTCTGGTGCTTGACCCTCCTCTAGCAGTAGCTAAAGTAGCTGTTACAGGGGAAAAGACATTTTTGAAGCTTGGCTTGAAGAGAAAACTTCACCAGTAGTGTTTCCAACAGTAGGACTGTAAATAATGCCCATGTAAAATTTACTTGCTGTAAGAGGATGCCCGTGATCATATTTTGTTTCCATGTAACTAATTTAGCACATTGAGACTTGTCACACTAGTGCTTCAATCTTGGGCACTAACAGTGTGCACTAGCCCTGAAAGTTGCAACATTTAATAATTTACAGCGAGAAGAAGAGATCAAGGAAAAAACAGACATTTTAAGTATTTTGTTTATGCTAAATTGGGATCGATATATCAAAATGTCTCTCAGATATGCAGTTTCTGTCATGTGCAACTTTACTTGCGTGAAGAATGCTGCTCGTGTTTTGGGGAGTTTTCATGGTTGCTTTTGTAAATGGAGGCTTTCATATTGATCCAAGGCCCTCTAAAGAAATTGCAGAGCTTAAATAACACAATCTTATTCACAGAAAGCAATGCCATAACTAGATCCTCTTTCAGTGTTGCCTTCTGTTTTAAAATGTGTTGTAATACTCCTTGTAAAAATTTAATTCCTCTGCAGCCTGTGACTTGATAGCAGAATTAGCTGCTGGGTAAACCATTCCATTAATTACTGCAACTGTGATCTCAAGCAGGAGAGCCAAGAAGGGAATGCAAGATGAGTGGAAATATTTTAATTAATGAACAAAAACTTTGAGACCAGTCAAGGGAAGGGATAAGTTTTGAAGGACAAATGGTAGTGATAAATTTTTAATCGTGAGAATAGGTGACCTCTGTCAAACCCCATTACTCTGCTGTTGTAGGGATGTAGCTACACAATTCCTTAACATATAGATTAGTTGAAACTCTGTATACACACCTTATTCAGAGCTTAAGTCGTCCGAATTCACTTTAGTTTTACTCCGAGTCCAGAGTATGAACAAAAACCCTACATGGAAAGGTCACCTAGAGGAATTTTTATGGTTTCTCACATATGTCTTCCCCCCTACTCAGGGGGATTGATGGTGACTATCACAGACATTTTGTGAATTGGCTTTTAAAAATGAACCACAGAATTTGTGCTGCCTTACCGCTGACCTTCCACAGCGACAGTCCTCAGCAGCCTCCTCGGCCATGCTGCTCCCCTGCACTTTTCTGCCTTCTTCATCTTTTGCATCATCCTGTCTATTGATACTCCATGATACACCAGCATGTGTAGATAGATGTGTATACGGATAGAAAAATGCATGCATGCATCCATACATATTAACGTTTATAAGAAATATGTGTATTTGATAACCATTAGCTCTCAGTAAGACAGTACAAGAAAAAAAGCATTTTATTCTCTGATATATAATTTGCCAGTACTCAGACTCATTGAAGTGTGTTTCTGATCCCACCTCCTTCTTCCTCCCTCTTCCACTCGTATATAAATATGGAAAGAAGATTTTGAAGCAATATAAATTGTAGCTACAGGATTTGTGTATGTGCGTGACCTTTGAAGGCTTTCTAGAAATGCTTGTTATTGCTTTAAGTGTGTGCATTTTCCTGACAGATTGAGGCTTGCTTCTTGTGTATCAGTTAAAGTAAATATAGCATAACTGGAAAATAACAGAAATTATGACTGCAATAGTTGGAACAGGCAACCAAAATTAATTTTTTTATTTTATGTAATATATACATTAGTCAGTGGCTAGGACTATGACAAAATTTGGCCCTTTCCCTTTTCTCAGAAAACCTTTCGGAGATTCCTTGATTTAAGCATTCTTGTGACTTCCTTTTTCATCTTAGAAAAACATGCAATATGGTTTTTATTCATAAAATGATTATATCTAAACTTGTGGCTTGTGACAAACTAGTTTTGGCTAGGAATTAAGCCAGCGTAAAAAGGACAAAAACACATTGATGGATTGTTCTTAATAGTTACATAAAACAGCTCTTATTCCATTAGTGATAGAATTAAAAAAATAAACTCGTTTTCTGTTTAAAGCTTAGTCAATTTAGTGAAGAAAGGAAACATTACTGATGTTTGGGCAATTGAATCTATCAACAGTGCAGCCAGGCACTTAAAATGAATGGATTGTAAAAAGATGTGATATTAGCAGCATAGCTGGGGGAAACATAATCTGTGGGAAAAGTCATTATTAGTGCAGCATTGTTTTTGTGTTGTACCATGATTACAAGCATTAAAAATATCACACGCTGTTCCCGTAAGCAAGGTAATGCTTTGATGACAGTGGGTGTGCAAGAATCTGGAAATGTTCATTAAATCCTGAGCTTTGGCAGTTCCTGGTAACCAGCGTTTTCAGGAATTGAATTAGATTTCAGAGAACTATTATTACATCTGATTTTTTTTTTCTCATTTTTTTCCCCCATTCACAGAAGGCTTTATTCTGAGTGGAATGTAAATATCTGCTGAAAAATCAGTAGCACATATGTAGTCATCTTTTGATAACAAGAGATCATCCTTAAAAAAGCAGAATGAAGACAGAAATAACTTGTGCAACCACCAAGCATTAGTCACACGTAGCTCTTATATAATGCTTACGTCTTCAGTCGGCATGCTGGCAGCTGGGCTTCTTTGTAATATTTGTTTGGAGAAGCAGTATCTATCTCATTTGGCAGAGGAAGAAAACAAAGCCAAGAGTTGAGGGATGGGCTGGAGGACACACAGCACTTAGCTGGTGAGAGTATTACAATGAAGAGTCCATCATACATTGAACAAAGCCACCAGCAGAGTGGAGGTCTGTAGCAGTGTCTCCCTTTGTGCTTTCCCCACTCAACACCTGGCTTTTGGGATCTGCTGTTTTGGAGGGAGAGTGAGTGGATGCTGCAACACTTTGTAGTTTTCTGTTTTGTTTGTTCTGGGTGAGGAGGCGTATTTCCTCTTCACTCTATTATGCCTTCATGAAAAGGCCAAATAAAAACGCATAGCTTGAACTACTGAAAATGGCTTTTCAGTAGTTGAAAACCATAATGTAGTGGGTTTAACCTTGCCAGAACTCTTGAATGTGCATCTATGAACCCTAGCACCAAGAGGAATGCTCATAAGTGCAAATTTTCCTTTGTGGATTTGCCCACTGCACTGTGACTATGTAATGTATGAAAATGGGTGGGTTTTTCTGGGAGATGAGCCATTTGTGTATGGGAATTTCCTTGTAATGGTTCAGTAATCACTCTGGCTGCTTTCTTTTGGCTTGGTCCTGTTAGTTCATACATATTGAATGTTTGTTCCCAGCTGAACCACAAGACTATTAAATGGAGTTGGAGGCACTCTGTGATCTCATTTTGAAAGTTTATTTCTTGAGGCTGAAAAGAATTGCATTGTAATCAACTTTAATCTTAATAAGTACAAGAAATCAGAGTACTTTAAGGGACATTTTTATTCTTATCTTGTTGTGTTTATAGTTAATTGCGTTATAGCTTGGCTTGTCCATAACCATGTGTTATGTTTTCAGTTTTTTCTTTTCAGAATTACATGTAAAGAATGGTGCTGTTTTCTTTGGTTGATGTTGTAAGATGAAGTATTGATGGAAAAAACCATTAATGTCCCTAGAGGATATTCAGGACTTTGTGATTTTTATATAATTTTTAGAATAAAGTAGTCAAACCAAAATACTGGAAAAGTAGGACTCCAGTTATCAAACAAAACTAAGATGGCTTTTCGTTAAGGGTAAAAATTAAATTACATTGCTATTAAATGTACTATAAAATTGCTGTAAAATTATAGCAAAAGTAATACTTTTTAAAAAGAATCGCATTTACTTAATTTGTTATGGAAGCCTAGAAACTAAATGAATGGGCCAGGGAAAGTGAAGAGGAGATAATTATTTATAGGAAAATAAGGTTGCACGCACACAGCCATTTGGTAGCAATTTTAAACCAGAAATAATTGATTTCTTTTACTTCATGCAGTGTAATTGTGGAACTTGTTGCCACAGGGTTTACAGAGGCCAAAATTGTAATTGGGTTCAGAAAGGAATTGAGTGAGTTCCCGTTAGGTAGATTCATAAGAGGATGACAAACAATCTGGATGCAATCCTGGCACAATTAACCCTATTTTTTTTTGAGGATTTATGGAAGATAGGAGTATTTAGGAGAAGGATCGATTTGTTTCTAATATTATTATTTTTTAATAGCATTTCTCTGTCACAAGGCACATTTCCATTTTCTCACAAACTTGAAAATGTTTGTAGCTGCATGTATATGGAGTTCCTCCTTAGTGGCAGTTAGAGTTCTTCTCAAGTTCTTTATCTAGTGACAAGTAGAAAGCTATTACTCGGAGAGATCTGATGATGCAAAATGAATAATACACCTGCTTTTTGTTTTCTTTAGGACGCCGAGCTTTGTTTGACCATTCGTCACACAACGCAAGCTCAAAAGTAAAAGAGAGGAAACTACAAGGCACTTGTCCTCCTGTTGGTCATGGAAACTATGGAAAACCATGTTTGAGTGAAAGCAGTCATAGGTCCCCATTTTTTAATCCCCGTAATGGTTTTCACACGATACATTCAGAGCACAGTCCTGTGAAGCCAAGGATTATTACAGTGGTGAAACCTGGTGGACACACACTCAGAAGGATAACCTTGCTTCTCAACAGGAGATCGGTCCAGACCTTTGAACAGCTGATGTCTGACATTTCAGAAGCTCTGGGATTTCCACGCTGGAAGAATGACCGTGTGAGAAAGCTTTACAATCTGAGAGGCAGAGAAATACGAAGCATTTCTGACTTCTTCAGGGAAGGTGATGCATTCATAGCAATGGGGAGGGAGCCCCTCACTTTGAAGAACCTGGAAGTGGTATTACAAGAACTTTATCCTGAAAATCCTTATGCTGCCAGTGCTGCCATTCAGCAGAATGAGCTGCAGTCCCAAAAGCTGAAGAGCAGGCTGTATGACAAGGCTTTGAAAGTGGACAGTGGCTTTGATGAAACAGAAATTAGTAAGAACTGCAGCGATGATGTATCGCCCAAACTGGTAGCTGGACATGAAGGAAAAAGTCAAGCCAAGACAAAGCAAGAGGAAAAAATGAGAACCAAAAAAAAGTGGACTAGAGAGAGCTGGGGTTGTGAACAAGGAGTGAAGCCTTCTAGAAAGACCCAAGAAAGTGAGAGGTACCTCAACTGTGAGAGGAGTCCCGAGGAGGAATTAGAAGAGAGTTCAGAAGAGGTGGTGAAGTGTGAGAAATGTGAACAGGAAAGGCATGCCAGACAAAAATTACAAAGAGAAAGGCGGGCTGAGGCCTCATTTGAGAACAGAGAGCTGAACACAGGTGCATGTCAGAGGTACCATGTAGAAAGAAATGCAATAATCAGGAATTGCCGAAAATCTTCAGAAACTTGTCTGGAAGGTCAGGAAGGTGGTTGGAAAGATAATGGCTGTAAGAGGATGTGGAAGCCCCTCCATAGGAGTGTTAATGACGGGTTGGAGAAGCAAAAAAGGATCATTGAGAAGGAAAGGGATGTAGAGAAACATGAAAACCATGGGAAGGAAGTAGTAAAAGTCAAGAAGAATGCTGTAGAAGGGCTGCAGGTAACTCATGAAGTGAAGGGAGAGAATGGAAGCAGCTGCATAATGAACCAAAGTGGTTGGCTAAAGAAAGACACTATGAGAGATGCTGAGAAACTATTGAAAACACATAGGGAGGGCAGAGAGGCACACAAGGCTAAAGAGGAGAGTGCCAGAAGAGAGGGGAATATTACATGTAGAGAGAGTGACATGATGCGACAAGAAAAAACAGGAGAGCACAGATTGAATAAAGAAGAAAACAAGGCTCAGGGCTTGGAAAATGCAAGCCGGAGGCACACCATTAAAAACAGAACTGATGTAGAAAAACACTATGAGATTGGCAGAACTATTGGGGATGGGAACTTTGCAGTGGTGAAGGAATGTCGCCACTGTGACTCCAATCAGATCTATGCCATGAAAATTGTTGATAAATCCAAGCTGAAGGGGAAAGAGGACATGATGGAAAGTGAAATTCTGATCATTAGGAGTCTCTCTCATCCCAATATAGTAAGCTTAATTGAAGTGTATGAGACAGAAGCTGAGATCTACCTAATCCTGGAGTATGTCCCAGGAGGGGACTTATTCGATGCAATCATAGAAAGTGTGAAGTTCACGGAGCATGATGCTGCTGTCATGATCACTGACCTGTGCGAAGCACTGGTTTATATTCACAGCAAGAACATTGTCCACAGGGACCTCAAACCAGAGAATCTTTTGGTAAGCATTGGCAAACATATTGCATATGTGCAGGAGTTGAATTTATTTTCCTTTTAGTTATGGATCTTTGAGTATTTTTAAGCAAATACTGCACAGAAATAATGTGCTGTGGCAGGACTGTTTGGAAAAATGGGTCCAATTTTGAAGTGAAATTACCATTACAGTTTACTGCACATGGATCTGCTGTGCATTGCAAATAGTGCTTGCAGATAGAAGTAAAAATAAAAACAACCTGGCTTTCAGGGGTAGTGAGCACTTGTATTTTTCTGGAAATAGGATCTATTACTTAGCATCAGACTTTTGAGTATACAAGGATGATTTTTTTGGCATGAAGCATGCACTGAATCATAAGGCATCTTCCCTGCAGACCAAAAGTTATAAAATTGCTAATTTAGCTTATTTGTTTAATGGACTTTTTGTTCACTACAGTCACACATCCTGCAGACCGCTGTGCTAGTCCTCTACTGTAGTGATTTCTGTTTTGTGACAATTTATGTTCTTAGGAGCAGAAGTACAATGCAGTTGATTGAAATAATCTGGCAGTAAATTGTGAGTGTTTTAGTGAAATACAACACTAAAGTCAGCTCAAATACTAACTTCACGCCAAAGAGAAAAGTTATTTTTTCCAACACATTTCTCAGGCTGTGTTCTTTGTATCCAGCACTGAAGTCAATAGTGTTACTCACACGTGTGAATATGCATAGAAATGTTTGCAGTATTGACACTTCACAAGATAACCATCGTAGAACAGTAATGGTAAGCCACTCTCCCTTGCTAATTGTGTTACGCTCTGGGACTAGGGTTCCAAACTTCACCAAATATTTACCAATCTCTAACAAATTGTATTTGATCTGCTGGTGGAAGGTCATCATTAGCCAGAAAAAAGATAATAGACTATTTAGTCCTATGTGCCATTCAGTTCTTTAAGGGAATTACTTTTGGGAAGAAGTAAGTGAGAATTTCTGGGGAAAAGCAGCCGTGTAGGCTGTATGAAGTGCAGTGGTTGAACAAGGCTAGGCCTGAAAGGTTTGCTCCCAAACCTTTTGGCTAACGTATCTATACTAGGTCCAGCAGTGCATCCTGCTTAGTCTGATGAAAATTGTTGGCATGTGGTCTCTCTGTAAATAAGACAGTGAGTGCAAGCGGCTGGTTTGCACGAATAAGTATGCCTCTGGGCCCTGCCTTCATGCCTTGTTTTGCCATTAGAACAAAACCTCACTTAGAACCGCAGGGCTTTCTTCCAGAAGCTCATTTTCCATTATGAACCAGGCTCTACTCCTTATTTGCTGAAAATAAGCTAGTGCATGTGAAGCACCTGAGACCAGATGCATTATTTCCCTCTATAATATGTAATCATCACAGTGATGCTGGTAAGCGATGAGGCATGATACGGGTCCGTTCTGGTTGTTTTCACATTTAGTTCACAGCACTGCAAAACAGAGACTGCTGGGCAGTAGCAAAGTGTTGTAGCACTGAAATAATCGTGTTGCCCATTCTGACAGTCAGAAAATAATTTTCAAACACAGACTGGGCCCCAGCCTATAGGTATTTTGTCATGTGAGAAGAGTGTTACCCATACACTATGGGAAAGAAAATTCTTCCAGTTTCACCTTGCTGCTAATTGTCCATGAACACTTGTATTAATATCATTTGCATAAAGCATCCTTTTGAAGAGTTAGTCTGTTCAGCAAACCAAATGAATTTCTAAGCTCTTGGTAGTGTTGAATAGCTCACTAGCTATCTAATAAGCATCCCTATAAATACAGAACATCTGAGCAAGTTTACAGCGTTTCTGACTTTTTAGTATGCTGCTTTGAACACCTCAGAGTGACTGGAGCAGTAGCAGCAGAGTAGGAAGGAGAACTGCTACTAGTCTTAACCTCAGCCAATGCTGAACAAAACCAACCAGTATTGAAGGAAATTTCATGGATTCATCTGCTGTTGGCGGGTCAGGGGCTGGGGCAGTCTTCTGGAGAGCAAGCACAGTGCTGGAAGTGCTGGCATCCTGCAGGGATGTCCTTGGTTGTGGGATACCTCTTGCTTCAGATTGCTACACTGTGGATCTTTAAGTCTGAGTTAGTTTCCCTAGACTTTCTTTACGCACAAAGAACAGAAACAGGTACATACTTTTAGGCTGTTTCCTTGTTCGTCCTCCTTTGGCATCTTCTTTTGATCAGGCATTCTACTGTACTTCCTCTTTCCAGCAAATGGGGAAGAGAAGAGATCCCTAGTCTGTCTTACTAAGGAAATGTGTTTGTCTGCTGTATGCCGCTGGTAAGGACTCAGACCAATATGATCATGCTGTAGCCATTTATTATGCCTTGATTACACACTTTAATAAAGAGCTCTTGCAGATTTGGCAGCTACTAATTGGATAGAATGATTCTAAGATCCTAACAACAAAGTTACTATTGGCTAGCTTTCATCCTGGGAACGGGACCCTTAAAATTACTGAGTCATGCTGATTATTTACCTTCGATTCCTCCTTATCTCACTTACATTCTGCATAATTGCCTAAATTCTCATTCCTTGCTGATGTTTTTTCTCCTTTAGTACAAATCCACTACATGACCATTTTCTTCTAAAAAGGTTCCCACAACTGTAAAACTGCTTTATGTGAGAATCTAACCCTGCTTCTAGTGACTTTTGAACCTACTGGCTAATTTCCATCAAAGCTGACAGAGAAGCAGCAAACTGGGGAAAAAATATTTCCTTAAGTTTCATGCAAATAAGCAGCTGGGAAAAGAAGGGGAAACCCTGTCCCTACAGAAGAAAAGGTGGAAAAACACTTCGACATCTAGTGAATTGCAAAATTATTAACACAGAAGAGAGTTGGAAACCTGGTGTAATTATTAGTTCACTGCACTACTGTTCCTCTTATGGAACTGCCCTCTAGTTATAAACTTCTGTGACCGTCCACCATTATCCTTTCTTGTTTTTCCTCCTTCTTCTTTCACTACTGTGTCTGCCCACAATGATCAGACTTCTCACAGTGTAGCTGTGAGGCAGAAGGGTGGTGACTTGTGCTACAAAAACAAAATCTGTTTGACAGCTGGTGTGAAGACAGCTGCTCTGACTCCCTCCCATCTGCTAACAGGATCACCTCATTTAGGACTAGGTGTTCAGCGAGAAAACCTTTGCCACCAAGGATGAGCAATGTGGTGTATTTGGTCCTACAAAAGAAGCCAGTCACTTCTTTAATGCTACCTGGAGGAGCAGAATTTGTTGGCAATGTTTTTAGCTAAGGGACTTTTTAATTCTACAGGTGCTAGCATTTCTTGACTTGTGAGTGAGAAATTAGTTTCAAAGTGTAGTGGTGTTTCTCCAGGTTATAGCTGTAAAAGACACAAAGTCACCTCCTTGCCCCTTTTAGGGGGGAGGGGGAGGTTTGTATTTGTGTTCATGTACTCATCTCCTTGTACACTTCCCAAACATACTAATGTGGTAATTGTTTAACACTCAGCTTCATAAATAATATAAGTGTTACAGCTTTTTATGTTTGAGCTTTTTTCCTCCCCCACCTTTTTCTCTCTCTCAGACTTGTTTGTCTGAGAACTTCACATATAGCCTTTCTGTCCTTTAACTTTACTTTTGTGACACTAATTACACATACACAAGGCACTGTCAGAGGCTTCCAAGTGCATTTGAGATAAAATCCTGTTTAACCAGTTACCTGTCGAGGGTGTTCAGTATGATAAACCTATATTGGGAATTTCCTGTAAGATTTTTCATAGAGATTCTTCTAGCCAGCAGCAAGGGATGTCTGAAACTCAGACATGTAAGCAGTGCTTTTTCTTTAGCTCTACCTATTTCTAATATACAAATGTCCTATGGGCTAGTTTGCTTTCATGAGGTATATAAGAAGAATCTGAGCTACCATATATATGTGCATACAGAGAAATACTAATGCTATCAGTCATCATCCTACACTGATGGATTTCACAAGATAGACACAAAAACAAACAAGAGCATGAAGAACTGGGAGTCATCAACAGACAGGAGAAAAGGAAAAGATCAATTTATCCCTTCTTTGAAGATGAACTTGGCTTTGTATTAGTGTTTTCTTCTGGATATATGGCTGGGATAGCTAGAAATCCTCAGACAACAATATCCTACTATAGCATCTGCATTTGAGAGAGTAGTGAGCAATTCTGTCTGCCTTTAGTCCAAGACTACCAGATACTGGCTTCCCTTGCAGTTGAAGGGCACGAATAGTTGTATGGCCTAAATTGTCTGTCTATAGAAAGCGTACTGAATGCTGGTCTTCCTTATCTCACTTAACTCTACAGGCAGGTAAGACAAGGTAACACTCTTAAATGGACTTTTGGAACCATTCTCAGTAGTTTTGAATGGACAAGCAGTAACAGCTGTCTTTTAGGGGTCACAGTAAGGCTAGTATAGTAATTTAATGTTTCCATTTTTGCTTTATTCTCACTGTTTCACAGAGCACATACTGTACATGTCAGAGTGTCCGAATCTGGGGATGAAGGGAATGGTCACCTTGCTGAAACTGGCTTGTGTTGTTCTGAGCACAGTGTTAGTGCTAGTGTATAACAAATGCATGATGTAAAAAATAATACTGTGGTATTAACTAAAGATTCTACAGAAATGCCTAGAAAGTAAGTTACAAGGCCAGTCAACTTTCAGGTTTTAGTGCATGACCTGACAATCTTCATATCCTGTTAATCTGTCTATAAGCACAAGTTCTTGTGAGAGTCAGAAACAAAAATGCATCGTTTGTCCCACTCTCTGCTCTTCATATCAATCTCTGCTGCTTTGACTCTTCGTTGCAGATTGCCTCCCCCTTTCCATTGTCTCTGCCTAGCAATCATAGTCAGTTTTTGCTTGGTCCACAGCAAGCAGGCTGTATTAGATCTACCTCAGCTTGATAGGACAAGAAGAAACGGCCTCAAGTTGCACCAGGGGAGATTTAGGCTGGATATTAGAAAAAATTTCTTCACTGAAAGAGTGATCAGGCATTGGAACAGGCTGCCCAGAGAAGTGGTGGAGTCACCATCCCTGGAGGTGTTCAAGAAACGTGTAGATGTGGTGCTTAGGGACATGGTTTAGTGAGTTAGGTGGTGTGGGTTGACAGTTGGACTTGATGATCCTTGAGGTTTTTTCCAACCTTAATGGTTCTATGATTCTATGATTCCATGATTCTAAGATGCTGAGGAGCTCTGGGCAGAGGTTTTCAGGTGTGCTGACAGGTTACATGCTGTCTTTGAAATGATTGTCACAAAGCTGTGAAAATATACCCACGGTGCATGCTGTTCCTACCTGTTCGGTAGTGAAGTAAGATGACAGCTCAGTGGTTTTGTCCTGGAAGAACAGATGGTGCAGTATTGCCACCTTGTGCTGTGATGAGAGATTAGGAGTCTGGCATCCTGATAAAGGAAAAAGCACAACAGTGTATTTTACAAAGCAAGACATTTCCGGCTGATTTTGGACAAGATAATTTTTTTTTTTGGGATTGGGATTAAGACGAGTGTGTTCTCCACCTTTCCCACCCCCCTGCTGGTTTCCAAAAATTGATATAAATATTTCAGTATTATTTGTTTTAGCACAGTAGCATGGAGAGTATTAGTTGAAATTCCACATGACTTAATTTTCTTATAAAATAATAATTTTCATAGTACATATAAAATTGAGCATTTCAGTTGTGAATTTTTGTAGCATTCTACCATTATTACCCCTATTATTAAAATATAAATCCAGTGGATAGATGCTGCTCTAGAAAGTAACTGTTACCTTTGTAATTTATTCTTCATTTTTGTCAGCTGTTGTGTCCACAGTGCATCATGGCAAAAAGTCACCATGAAGTTGACTAACGTAATAGAGAAAATGGCTATGGCATTTTAGTTTTGTCCTGCAGAAGTTTTGACTGCATTGTCACTATGTCAGTGACATATTTTGTTTCTTAAAATAGTGTTTCATTAACTGCGTTACAAATTAGTGGTAAAGACCCATACTTACAAAATTAGAATGGGAAGAAGTGTTTTGATTACTTTCCAAGTGGATGTAGGAGATGGGAACTGCTGAAAAGACCCATTTAGGCGGACATTCTGCATGGATCCATTTCCCCAGCTCTTACAATGTGGGGGCTGTGACTCATTTATTTTCAGGGCAGCAAGCAGAGTAGCAGAGTAATTTGCAAATAAAGTACAACTTTTGTTGTCTGTTTCGGTTTTTTTTTTGTTAGACTGGTGTGATGGTGATAATGCTCTTCAAGTGACACTGTGAAGTCAGTAGCTTAGCTGGAAATATTGCCTTTAAGCATAAAGACGCCTACAGCATTCTTTGATTTCCTAAGGGAAAAGAAGAGTTTACTTTCCCAAGAGAAAATAACAACATTTAATTGACTCTTGGTTATTTTTTATCTTCCTCCTTTTCTTTTCTTGAAAATTACAGTGTGACAGAGTTTGTAGAGCGAAGTTTTCTTTTTCCATTATTGTTTGTCCTTTTATATATATGCACTCTCTTAGTATATAGGGGGGAAAAACACTTTCTGAATACAGTTTATCAAAATACTGTTTCCATTTCATGTTGCTTTACTTGAAGGCACTATTATTAGTACTTCTTACTGATTTTTATTAACTACTTCCTTTCTATTTTTCTGTCTTAAAGTGCATCTGGACTAAATATATGTATTTTTTGTTGCGTGTAGGTTCAGCATAATGCAGATAAATCTACTACACTGAAACTAGCAGATTTTGGCCTTGCAAAGCAGGTTACAAAACCCATATTTACTGTGTGTGGAACACCAACGTATGTTGCCCCTGAAATACTTGCTGAGAAAGGTGAGTGTATATAATTTATCATAAATCATACAATTACTCTGAACTTTCTAATACTGCAAATATCCCAGAATGTTTCAACCTATGATATATCTTTACAGAGAGGAGGTTGACTAGCAATATAATCTGTGAAAGAAAAAAGGAAAAGAAACCTTTTAGCTTTTCCCAAACACAAGCATGACATCAGTCAAGTTTGCAATCATTAATGTCTGTGATAATACAACACTGATTTCCAAGCAGACCAGCCATAAAATATCGTTGATGGTAATTGCCGAAATGGGGAAATGAGCACAGGTTCATGTTGCCATTGAGGATAGTCAGCCCCGTTTCATGACTGTAACCCAAACAACTTTCCAAGACCCGTAATGATGCAAAAACATTGTGAACATATGTGTCAAACTTACGTAACAAGCCAAAACATGTTTGACATCAGAAGAAATTTTGGAGATTGCATATCCAAAAAGATTCAGACCTGAAAAGGAGTCAGTTTTGTTGATGACTCAAACAAAGCTATTTCTGGTTTTTGTTCTGTGGAGCTGGGTTGCACATCTCCAATTATATCTAGTTTCAATGGAAACTTGGCACTCCCTTAGTGCTTTTTTTGAAGGGAATCTGAGGAGGGCTATTTCAGAAATATATGCTGTGTTTTCTCAATTAGTCTCCAATTGACACAGGCCTTGTGAAACAGTGTTTGTGAAACATGTAGAAGAAGAGAGGCACTATGAGAGCTGTAGTCGTTAACAGACAGAGCAGTTCAGCGGGTAAGCATGGTGTACCAGCTACTTATTCTTCTGCTGACCTCATCTTTTTGAGAAACTGAGCAGAGCTTGTGTTTCTTGGAAAACAGAATGGAAAAAGAAACAGTTCCCTACCAGTTGTGAGTTTTCTTTCTGAAACAAAACTTTTGGTTTGTCTTTTCTTCCTTAGGCTATGGGCTTGAAGTGGATATGTGGGCAGCTGGTGTGATCCTTTACATTCTGCTCTGCGGTTTTCCCCCTTTTCGCAGTCAGGAACGTGATCAAGAAGAGTTGTTTCAGATCATACAGCTGGGTCACTACGAGTTCTTGTCCCCCTACTGGGACAATATTTCTGCAGGTAAGATGCAGCATGTGTAGCAGATCTGAGAAGCGACAGATTTCTTCCCTGGAGCGGGAAGAACTCCCTTTTGTTTAGGACAGTGAGCTCAATTAACTTGGGGGTGTCTTACAGGTTTCTGTTGTGTGATTCGTATTTAAACGTATGTTCACAATTAAATGTGAATTTAGTCCTCTGGTAATATTGGTGGCTGTGAATCTGAATATTATGTCTGATTAGTTTAATAGATTGCTCCCTTTCTGAGGCAAGAGCAAGGATTTTCCTCACCTTCCTTACAAGAGCTGTCTTTGTACAAAACAGTACCAAAATTTTCTCCAGGATTATGTTAGATTGTAAAGATGTATGCAAAAATCTCAAAAGTTGAGAATTAAATCCTTGCTCTGCAGAACACAGTGTGTGGATTTTCTATTGAGATCAATGGGGTCTGCATATAGTAGTTTTTTCCTTCTTCCAGGGTAGTACAGTGTCTTCTGTGCACTTTTTGAAAATCAGAAACCCTAAAGCCCCTCTCTCCCTATGCAGTCTTTTAAAGAACATGCTTAACGTCATTCTATGACTTTTATGCTCCTTGAAGGATGAGATACACAATGCAAATTCCTGTGAATCTGAACGCCTAGCCTGATGCCTTCAGCATGTTCTCAAGATTAAATTCCCTTCATTTTCTCCCCTCTTACTGAAGGGGAAAATGAAAACAGTAAAAGGTATGCTGGAGATTTAACATCTCCTGTCACTAGTTCTAAATCCAGTTGTTAGAATATCTTCTAGGAAGAGTCACAAAAGTCATTATGGTAAAACTAATAAGAAAAGATAAGAAGTACATTTTGTGTAGGTGTAACTGTTGGCATCATCATGTCACTGTTCTTTTCCCCTCTCTCCTTTTCTTTCTTTCATAATAGCAGCAAAAGACCTCATAACCAGGCTGTTGATAGTGGATCCCCAGAAGCGTTACACAGCACAACAAGTACTTCAGCACCCTTGGATCAGAACAGCTGGAAAAACTAACAGCAGAAATTTGCAGAGGGAAGTGACAATAAACATTGAGCGTCATTTCCGGGCCCAGCGCCGAAAGGAAGTTGCAGATGAGGATACATGAAATCTTGTCAAGCTCATTTAGTCTTCTTTTTATTGATTAACAAATATATTTAAGTTTTCTTTTCTATATGGATCAGGCCTTTAGTGTATAGCTGTTGCTGGCCATTGCCATGCCTTTTTTTTTTTTTTAATTCTGAGATTCTGAAGAAGGACAGAGATCAAATTCTCATCCACCTCCCTATGGTGTTACTTGGGAGTCTCTCTGTTGACAGCAGTGGGGACTAGATATTTCCTGGAGGGTATCTATTATTTTTCTTTAAATACTGATTTAGTCTTTTACCTTACAAAATGTATATCTTTTAGATGACAAGTGTTTGCTTCTGTGGCTGACACTAGTGATGACTGTGAAATGCTTTCTCTTGTCTCTTTTTGTATGATACTTTCCAGGAGTTTTGTGTTTTTAACGTGTTATGTTTATAATGTTTTCAAAATAGCTGTCTGCATACACATCCTGTACTAATTCTGTAAACTGTCTTTTCACCAATTCTTGCTAGCAATGGAGAAGGTGAAGGAATAAAAAAAAGTGAATATATTCTTTAGCTGTAGAATATGTTAAATAAGCAGTGAGATAGTATTTATTAAGTTGTGAGGGAAGAAAAATCCTTATAGACTAGATCAGGTATTTTATGATATCTCCCTTGGCAACATCTTTAATTGGATGTTCTCATGGACAGGGCAAGAGACTGTGCAATGTTTCTGTTAAACTATGGGAGCACTGTTGTAGTATGGTAGTTTCATTTGTTTATGAGAAGTGGGAAGATATCATGGCTGATACCTTTTCAAGACTGTAGTAATAACTTTCAAAGTGCTTTTCTTCCTACTCTGGGAAGTAGGAAGTTAAGCAATTCTAAGGGAACTTTGGTTCTTTTCCCGAAGGTGTATTTAGGGAATGATAACCCAAGCATTTCTTCATACTGATTTTTTTCTTAGGAGCCATCCATGTGCATCTCTGACTTTTCCATGCTGATGGAGAAGAGAAAGCTGGGAAGCTGCTTTTGTGACTTAAGTTAATCCTTACCTTCATGGTTCCCCTTTCATCAACACACTTCATAGCAATTCAGCTTTTATGTACTTATGTACTTTTTCAGTGTAGTTTAGCAATTGTTTGGGTTTTTTTCCCTGTTGCCTTCACTGGGAACTCTCTCTCCTTGCTTCCATGAGAATATCAGATGAAATTGCATTAAAATTCAGCTTGGGGAAAAACAACAGCTTGTTGGCTATGGAAAGGTCTCCCAGGGGAAGTGTCAGATGGTTCATTGCATACATTTTTTACAATTTGATTGGATGCAGTTTTAAAGAAATCTGGGGGGGGGAGGGAGGGGAATACAGTCGCGAGAAGGGCCGTGACCCAGAACAGCTTTGGAATCTCAGAATTTTTGTTTAACTAATCAAATCCAAAAAGCACTTAAGTTGTCTGTTTTATAGTGCTTTGTCCAAAAGTTCCATATACTATATTGATGTTAAAATATCAGTGGTATTAGCATTGGAATTGTAGCTTATAGAAATGAATGAGAGTATTTTAAAATTGCAGAGCTGCTGCTCTGCCTGTGTATTTCATAATGAGAAATGTCTGAAGCGTTGCAGAAGCAGCAGAACATTTTCATAACTATATGAACCAGAATATTATTTTTGGTGAGTGCTAATATTTTGTGTGAACTTTCTGAGTTACCAAAAAGCATGGGGTACTGTCCTCATGTTTCTGTTTCAACTTGTGACAGATTTGCTGCGAGAATGATGTATGGAAGTAGAGACAACTTGGCTTTTTGAGGGGAATTGCACTTTCAATTGAACTGGTTTATTTTAACACATATTGGAATAAGACTTGATGTGGTGTTCAAGAATTTGTGGAACAAACCAGTCCAATCTTTATTCTTTGCCTAAGTAGTGTTTATATGATATGTCGTACTTCTGCTTTAGAGGCCCTGAGTCAGGAAGACTTTGCTGTTTCCTGAAAACAAGAATGGATTTAAGTGCTTTCCTGAAAACAAGAATGGATTGAAGTGCTTTCCTGAGTTAAGGCTATGCGTAACCTCGTATTTTAAATGCATTACATGGTCTTTGAGTACTAGTAATAACTTCTCTGTTAATTTGAGTCTATTTTGGATAGGAAACTGTGGAAGAATAGCTTCTGACTTGCAATATTATATTTTGTAATTATCTTATTTTTAATATAGTCATTTAGGAATAAAGTTTGAAGTGACAAAAAGAATAATTTACCAGCAATGAATCTGACAGTTTGGAGATTGTGTTACGAGTTGCCTTTTTCACCTTGAAGAACCTGTCTACAACCTTATACATAGTGCAGAAGATAGAGAATTTTTGTGTAATGAGTATAAAGGTAATTATTTTTTCAAAGATTGTTTTTCTCTCAAGTTCTCTAGGTCCCAGCCAGACAAACATGGACCATGCTGTGTTCTGTCACTGCATTGCATCTGTAAGGACAGACACTGCTGTGGCAACACTGGGGGACTGGTTTGTTGGTGTCACTAATAGACGTGTGGCATTAAGCCCTCCTTGTTCAGCCTGGAGGCTGAAAAAGCTTCCAGGTGCTTCTCAGGGTTTTTGGCTCTTTCTTTCTCTCTCCTACTTTAGATATTCCTTCTTTCCTCTCATTGCTTCCAGTGTTCTTGTCCTGCCTCTGTGCTGCTCTAAAGAGTCCAGGTCCCCAGCTGTTATTGTTTAAGTTGCTTGAAGCAACGACACAACACATGATTCTGGTGAGCTCAGCCTCAAACATTGCTTGCTGATGTTGAAAGTTAGTAAGATTAAAGAGGTCTCAGACAAAAAAAAAAAAAATGGTGAAAATCCCTTACTGGTCTCCAAGATCTCCAGTGTTCCCTCATCTCCTACTGCCGTTTCTCAAGCTTCCCTCTTCCTATTGTGTGCCATTCCAACATAGACCTGATCTTCACTTCCTATAAGACTGTTTCTAATACATGAACCAAATTCACACTCCAGGGGGGAGGATTTTTGCTGTTGTTACATTCTTTCCTGAGCTTTTTCTAATGATTACTGTCTCATTGGTTTCTGAAGTAATCTTCCCCTTATGTTTGATTGGTTCCTTTGTCTACAGGAAGTCTGAGGAAGCTCAAAGCTGGGGAAGATTGAAGTCTCAAGAGAGCAAATTCTTGCTGATTTGTTTGGAAGAAGAAATATCCCTCCTTGCTCTTCATTAAATCTTTCTGATTTAGACTCTCACTTGGGATTATACTCCACTGGAAGTAAGACAAGTTATAGTGTCCCTAGCTCTTTAGATACTAACAATGAAGAAAGTAGAATGTAACACCAAGAAAAACAGACAATAAACCCCTCAAAATTCAAAATATGAACTTGCAGACCTCAATAGAAAAGATCCACTTACAGAGGATTTGCTAGGTCTGAGGCAACAGAAGGGAGGAACCTGTTTGTTTTCTGCAAGCTTTTACAAATCAGATCAGTAGGAATCCTCTCATGCCTCTGAAGGGTGTTGGTTGATTCCTATCTCACAACCAGAGATCCTGACTGAGTTCTGGTTATGCCAGGGTTATTTCGGTACTATCTGGTATTGATTATTCCAAAATCTTTATCTCTTGAGAAACCAGAGACCCTGACTCTCTGTAATCTTTAGCCATAGACTTGGCTTACCCTCTAGTTGTTTTTCACGTGTGCTATTACATTTCATTTATCCTAGTCCTCACCTACCTATTTTCTATCACCTATCCTCTGACTACTGTAATCTACCTCTTTTCTCCCCTCAGATGACTCCCGTTACTGAAAGATGGTGAAATCTTCACATAATATGTTCTTCTACGGGATGTGCTGGCCCTAGAAATAGGAAATAGAAATGGGGCCAGTGCAGGAAATGAGCAAAAATTTTTGAAAGTGTTTAGACATACAAAAGTGTGCAAAAGATACTGGCATTTCACACTGCATGGTGCTTAACTGCCTTAAAATGAACAATGGGTATTTGGTCCTTGCTTGCATCTTTAGTCACGTAGTATTTAAAAAGGCGTGCCCAAGAGACTCGTGATTGAAACTTGGCAGTAGAGCAGAGACACTCTTCCCTCTGGGACACACTCTAACTGCTTTTATTCAGGGACCCCTCTTCTTCATCTTAAGATTTGTTTAGCTACTCTGCGGAATAGCTGAACTCAAACCCCATTTAAATCTGCTGTCTCTGTTCTGGCTGGCATTATAATTCCTGTATCTCTGTTACTGCAATTTTCGGCTGTAAGGTGAAAGAGGGGTGGTGGAATGTTCTCCTCTGAGCTTGGGCCTTTTGGGTTATGGTCCTATTGTGAAAGGGAAATTTCTGGAGTTGACTGCTTGCCTTTCTGCAAGTGTCCAGATTTGGGTGGTATTCAGTCTGCTTGAAAATATACTAGGCTTGCTGTGCTTATATAAACTGATCTTCCCAAACACAAGTGAGTATCAGTCTGAAATCTTTCTCCTACCATTTCTTCTGTCACCTAGATTTCTCTTAATTTAAGCAATGTATGGAAAATGCTTTTTATGTTGCTGGGCATGCATTTTTCTCTCCTCTCCGAGTCCACCAGTAAAATACTTTACTGTTGACATTCTTGCTCCTGAAGGGAATATGGGCACTTTAACTGGGCTGACAGTGTATATGGGCACTGTTTGTTCTACAATATGGTTTATTTGCAACTAGGCTGAAGGTGTCATTTGCTAAACTGAAATACATTGTAGACTTCAGCAGAAAAGTGGTTGTTCCTCCCCTTCACTCTCATAAAGGCAAACTATATAATGGATGTTTTATTTCAATATTCTTTCCAATAAATTGGGAAAAAATTGTGTGGCCAAGTATTTTGAGATTTTTTTATTATTATGACAATTTATCTATTTGGAAAATGCTTGTTTTATAAGGTTTGCAATTTTGTTAAGTATTGTGTGTACCTTCATTTACACTTAGAATGACCTATTTGAATGCTGCAGTCCTTTGAATACTTACAGATGTGTTTTTCTTTGCTGCTGTACGTAATGCCATTGAAACCAAGGCGTTTCTTTGCAAAACTGGAGCTAAGATTCTTTCCACCACCATTTTTGTCCCTGTACAGCATCAATTATTTCTGCTATGACGTTAGAGCAATCTTGACAAGCAGAGCTAGCTTCACTGAAGTTTAATTGTTATTTAATTACAAGAAGTTAATTAATTACAGCCATAATCCAAGTGAGCGAGCAGTGTTGTGTAAGACTACAGCGATGCTCACAGATCTGAGTTCTCCCATCATTAATTCTTTTTCTGTAGAGTTCAAGTTTGTTTAGAAGATTTGCTTTGTTTGTGGAAACAGGCATTC